CAGGTCGGGGTTCCAGGGGTGTGTCTGTGCGGATTTGATCTTGTGCTTTTTCAGGAAGTTTCTTGAGCAAATGCTGTAGTTGCTTTTGGTAACTCTCAGTGGGATCATAGGGTAATGGCTTGTAGAAACTCGTGTTGGAGAGCTGCCGAGCAGCCTCTTGTTCATATTCCGAACTATTCATGATGACAACAGCACCTCCTTTGTCAGCCTTTTTGATTATGATGTCAGAGTTGTTTCTGAGGCTGTGGATGGCATTGCGTTCCGCATGGCTGAGGTTATGGGGCAAGTGATGCTGCTTTTCCACAATTTCAGCCCATGCACGTCGGCGGAAGCACTCTATGTAGAAGTCCAGTCTGCTGTTTCGACCTTCAGGAGGAGTCCATCTAGAATCCCTCTTTCTGTAGTGTTGGCAGGGAGACCTCTGTGGATTAGTATGTTGTTCAGAGGTATTTTGGAAATATTCCTTGAGACGGAGACGTCGAAAATAGGATTCTAGGTCACCACAGAACTGTATCATGTTCGTGGGGGTGGAGGGGCAGAAGGAGAGGCCCCGAGATAGAACAGCTGCTTCTGCTGGGCTGAGAGTATAGTTGGATAGGTTAACAATATTGCTAGGTGGGGTGAGGGAACCATTGCTGTGGCCCCTTGTAGCATGTAGTAGTTTAGAAAGTTTAGTGTCTTTTTTCTTTTGTAGAGAAGCAAAGTGTGCGTTGTAAATGGCTTGTCTAGTTTTAGTAAAATCCAGCCACGAGGAAGTTTGTGTGGAAGGTTGGTTCTTTATGAGAGTATCCATTTTTGAGAGCTCATTCTTAATCTTTCCCTGTTTGCTGTAGAGGATCTTGATCAGGTGATTCCGCAGTTTCTTTGAGAGCGTGAGGCACAAGCTGTCAGCATAGTCTGTGTGGTATGTAGATTGTAATGGATTTTTGACCTTCAGTCCTTTTGGTACGATGTCCATCTGTTTGCATTTGGAAAGGAAGATGATGTCTGTCTGTATCTGTACAAGTTTCTTCATGCAGTTGATAGATTTCCACTCCATACGGCTAAATGCAGTGCCTGAGATGGCACTGAGATGGCAGCTGGAGCCCAGCAACGCTCTCCTGGGAGAGATGGGGACAGGCATGCTGGATGATGTGCCAGCGGACAGGCTGAGAAACACCAGGAGGCTGGATCATGGGCTGAGCCTACAGGGGAGACTGACTAAAAGGCAGAGCGTGCTCTGTAGCAGTCCGGAGCACTAGAGGGCACTTGGCAGGGCAGCTAGCAGTGGGGGCTGGGCCAGCTGACATGTGCCAGGAAAAGTGTAAACAGGGCAGTTCACAGCTCTGGGTGAAGATCAGACAGGGTATGAAAGGACACAGGTCTGGGTATAAAGGCACCATATGGGGTGGGCTAGGTCCAAGCCCTGGGTGATCTTGGGCAAGTCACTGAATCCCAGGGTCCCATCTCCTGCTTGTATGGTGTATCCCTTTCTCTCCCCTCCGTTCCATCTGCTCTGTTTAGTGCCTCCATTCCTCCTCTTCCTATGCATTTGGACTGCACCTAGCACAAGGTGGCCCCATTCCCAGTCGGGACCATGAGGCACAGCTGTAACACACATTTTAATGGGTCAAACAGAGGAGCTTCCCAAGATCACCTCTCTGGAGGTTGTATGAAGAAGGGGGAGTTGAAGCAAGCATGTTATCCTCTGCACGAACAGTTACCAGAGAGGGCTTAACTCAGCGGCACAGCACCAGCGCAAAGGCCTGAAGCGGCAGGGGGCGTCCCCTCTCTGGACTCCAGGGAGACACCGTTGGGCTGGAGGGCAATGGGCTCCTTACAACAGAACAGCAGAGGGATTCCACCACCGGAGGCCTGCGCCCAGAACTCCAGTTGAAAGGAGCGTGGGATCAGAGTAGGAGTGCGGTCAGCTCTCCCGGATGCTCTATGCAGGGGATGAAAGCGACTCGGAGCCTTCTAACAACAGGAGCAAATCCAAGCACCCCTCGGGAGATGAGCCGGGCCACGTCTCGGGCTGCTGAGCGGGCCAGAGATCAAACGCTGCGTGGTCCCAAGGTGCAGTACTTTCCCTGAGAGCTGAAAAGAGCAAGCCAAGCAGCGCTGCTCACTTGTCTGAAAGGCCCTGCTGAGCTCCTTTGTCTGCACGTCCATCAAAGCTGCTGTTCAGGGCCAACCCTCAGGCTGCTGGGCTCGGAGCCCGAACAGCAGGCACACCATGTGCATGGGCGAGGGGGGGACCACCCCCATGCTGCAGGGCCGGGGCTCTGGCAGCACTAACATCCGGAACCCTGCAGGACTGACTTTGACAACTTAACTAGGGGAGGAGGGGAAGGAGGCAAGAGAGACCCTGGGAATAACAAAACTTCCCCATCCCACAGGGGTCTGCAAGGGTCAATACAGTAACGACTGCTACTGCTCAGACACTACCGTACCATGGCCCAGATCAGTCCCATAGATCTACTGATCCCAGTGTGCTGGGGGCAGGGAGAGAGGCTGAGTTGCACCCCAGGGAGGAGTGACCTGGGGCCTGTGCTTGGGCAATGCATTCCGGGCCCATAGCAGACAGCATTTCTAGCCTTGGCTTGGTGCAAGATATGGGACTTCACAATCACACCGTCTGGTCCTTCCCCACCACCCCCGCAGGTAAACAAGCTGCTAGCATCCGGGATTGACTCGGGGCCACAGGCAGACTGGGATCCTCACTGTGTTTGACAGGACACAAAACGTTTGCCGGACGCTTCATGAGATGTCGACCTTTGTATCAGTCATCAATCCCTGGGTCTAGCGGGGGAGTTGGGATCTGGCAGCGGCCTACGGTCAAACATAGCTAGTCCCAGCATGGCACAATTTGTATCCCCCAACAACCAGAGCAGCCACACAAGCAAGGCCCTGGGAAACCAGCTTGGACTGTCCAGGGGGGTCGACAGCTGGAGAGAGGTGACACGGGTCCCTCAGCTAATCCTCACCTTTCCTCCTTGGCTTTCTGGATGCTGCTGTTAAGGTGACCTCTGGCTGACTCGATTTTACACATTATTTAATCCTCCCCCCCCGAAACATCTGTAGGGCCAACGTCCAAGCTCCTGTGTTCACACAGCAATGGTACCGGCTCTGTTCCAGGGACATAGGCTGAGCCTGGAGCATTCAGACAGCTTGGCTGCTAGCCTGAGCTGGTGCTGTTGGGGTGGGGGAGAAAGGGGCACATGCTCGAGGGAAGGCGAGGCAAGCTTGGCAGAACCGCAGCCCAGGGCTTCCCTCCAGTTACCCTTGTGGCTCTGCGGCTGGATGGGAACACAGAAGCTTTCGTCCAGCCTGTTACCGCAGCAGCCTCTCCCTGCACCTGGATCAGGAGGTTTTAGGGGCGAGACTGATGAGCGTTCAATTGCCGAGCTGTGAAGTATCCAGGCCCCCACAGACCAGTCCCGGCGAGCTCTGGCAGCTCTCCCTCCTTTGCAAACAGCTCCCCCGTGTGGGCAAACATCACCCCAACATCCACTGGTCCTGGTCCGTGCAGCTGAGACAGGGATGCTACATTTCTTCGTGGCAGCTGGTGCCTCCATCCCAGCAGCGCGCGGGGGGAGGGGCCGCTAGGGCGCATTCGGAACCCCCCCAACTCACGAGCACGGATCACTGCACGGCAAAGTGCTGGAGTCACAGGGCTTTGCGCAAGGACGAGGCTGTGATCATGTATCACCCCTGTGATGCAAGGCTGGAGTGGCCCTGGTAGGGCAGAGCCTGACATTTAGGAGATCCTGGGTTCAATTCCCTGCCCCGCTGCAGACGGCCGGGGCAACCTTGGGCAAGTCACTTAGGTCCCTATATGTGCAGAAGCACAAAGAAACGATGGGGGTAACGGCACTGCCCACCTCACAGGGGGTTGTGCAGTGTGAGGTGTTCACAGTCCAGCAATGGGGACCATGTAAGTACCAGAGACAGCCAGTCTGGCCACCACATCCATCTCAGTTATGCCCTGGGACCCACTAGCTTCCCTCTCTTCATGGGGCAGAAGCTGATTTCCCTTTTCTCCCCGCCACCCTGGTGCCCATCAGAGGGGGCGTGGGCAGACGTCGCCACTCAGTCATTCTAGATCAGTGGCTCTCAAACTTTTTTTACTAGTGACCCCTTTCACACAGCAAGCCTCTGAGTGCAACCCCCTTCTAAACTAAAAACACTCTTTGATATATTTAACACCACTATAAATGCCGGAGGCAAAGCGGGATTTGGGGTAGAGGTTGACTGCTCGCAACCTCCCATGTAATAACCTCCCGACCCCCAGTTTCTCTTCTAGATGCTCAGTGCCACCCACGCTGGGCCTTCTCTTCCCTTCCATCTCAGGCCCAGCCCAGTGGTTTGAGCAGCAGGACTGAAGTCAGGAGATCTGGGTTAGCTGTGGGACCTTGGGCAAGTGTTGTTCCCTTTCTGTATCTCAATTTGCCCAGCTGTAAAATGGTAATAAAAATAACCGGGGGGTGGTCATGAGAATTAAGTGATTAGTGGCTGTGACATGCTTGAGAGCCTCTGATGACAGGTGCCACACAAGGCACAGTGCTGCTCACTCTTCACTCAGACCCACCGGCTTTGCAGCAGCTGCATGGGCACTCCTGCCCCGGAGAAATGAACGAGGCCAGACCACTTCCTAACAACACTCTGTCCGTCTCGAGCCCACCCCTGCCAGCCATGGGCGTTAGCAGTTCAGTTAGCCCCCACCAGCCTTGCGAGTCAGGGAGGTGTTCCCCACATTTTACAGATGGGAAACTCCAGCACACAAGGGTTTGCCCATCAACACGTGTCAGCAGCATAGTGGGGAAAGGAGCCAGATCTGACTTTCAGGCCTCGGCTTAAGCCATTATCTTGTCTCATCCTTCACGCCCCACCTCACAGATAACACACAAATGGCTGAGCTTCAAGCTCACAGCACCAGTCATGGCACCCCAATACTACCCTGCCAGCCATGCCGCACGCCATCCATATGCGCCGCAAACAGAGCACACATCGGGCACAGCTGGGATTGACTGAGGTTTCATTGTTACACACAAGAATTACATTCCATGACTGGGCCCCAATTACTGCAGGGCTGTGTATTCAACACACAACACAGGCTAAGAGCACATACAAACGCACCAGCCACACAGATGCCAAACACTTCTTACCCATTACAATGCTATTTGAAAGGCAGAGGACTGACAACGAAAGCAATAGCAGGGTGACGAGGCCTCTGCCACAGCGTGATCTAAAGTAACCTGGAGACTGAGATCATGGAAAATGAACCATTTGTGCCCTATTCACCTGTGACCCTCTTCCACTGGAGTTATTGTGTTTCAAACAGAATCCAAATCCTGCTCACGGTCTCTCCCTCCCACCCCATGCTGCTGACAAATTTTTCTGTGCCTTTTAGACACCTCTAATTAGATGAACTTTTTCTCTTACCCGTCCCCACAGCCACCCCCTTTCTCCCCTCCCCCCGAAGCTGGCAATCACAAGGGCAGAATGCTGGCTTGCTCAGCAAGCTGGAATCAAAGTCTGAACAGCAAAACCCAGCAGGTGTGGGATATGATCAGAGGCCCAGAGAGCCTTCACTCCATCTGCACCCCTCCTAATCCGTCTGCCCTAGCAACCTTCAGTCCAACGCAGCCACTCATCTGTCTGCTCTCCCTCTCCCCCAGGCTGCAGCGCTTCTGGTTTATTTCCACTCCTGCTATGATCTATAACAAGATGTGCCACAAGGAGGTCTATGGAGTGAGATATCGTGAGGCTTGCTGCATGCGATGGTGAGCCAGACAATGTGCGACTGTACAAACCCCAACCCTACCTGGCCCATCTCTGAGGACAGCAGCTGCTGATGGAACCTGTAAGAACAAGGTCCCAGACTGAAGCTCTCCCAAGAAGTGATCTCAGAGAAAACAGCTGCTTTATACAGGTTTCCATCCCAACACAATGCAGGGACAGGTTGGTATTTGTACAGTGCCCAGAGGCCCTCCCCAAGGTCAGCACCCCATTGTGTGAGGTGCTACAGACATGTAGGGCACAATCCTGGTGCTTGGCTCTGCCCTAAGGAAAAGCTCAGTCCTGATTCTGACCAGTGCTGCAGGGAGACAGTTAGGTGGGGGTCTCCAGCTCCCATGAGGTGGAAAGTTCCCCCCAATGGCTCTCAGCTGGAGTGCAGCTGTACATACATGTTTTGTGTCCCCAGCATCCAAAGCCTGAGCTCACAGGGCAGGGCGGGGTGGCCGTGGCTGTCCCACGGCACGCCAGGAAGCACCCAGCATGTGGAAGGCTCCGTATAACCAGACAGGAATGTGGCTGTCAGCATTTAGGATTGCACTTCATTAGCTCCCTGAAAGACATTCCCAAAGCCAATGCCTTTAGCTCGCAAGGCATGGACTTGGCCTGGCTTTTTGGACCCATAACACAGCAGAGAGAGGGGATTCAGCTGGGTTAAGTGAGCCGGAGCCACTCAGAATGCAGCTAAAAGGAGGAATGTACTGAGCTTGGGAGATGCAAGTATTGCTCCTGCCGGCTGCTGCCCACTCCGGCTTCGCAGGGCTAATCTAGAGTGACCCTGCAGGTGGGGTTTCAGAAAGAGTCCTTGGGGAGGGGAAGGATAGCTGGCAACCAAACCCTAAGTGCACAAAGGAATTGCACACTCTTCCATTTTCCAGTCAAGTGGGATTGAGCAGAAGGGTTTCAGCAGCATGTTCACAGCAAGAGCCATCAAAGGACCGCACAGCCCTTCCATGGGTCTCCGCCCCTGCTAGCACATCTGCCTTGCCCCTGCTCCACCCCCACCCAGGCCCACCGCATGCGGACCCCACTAGCATAGTGGCTGATCCTCAGGAGGGATAGCAGCCTCGCAGAGCTACTCTTTAGCCAGGGCTGCGGTGCGGAGGGTCGCAGGAGAAACCCCCACGGGGGGAGGTGTGGGGGGCACGACACTGGACGTTCTGTTAGTGTGGTACCAGCACCCCGGAAAGGGAAGTGCAATGCAAGCCAGTGAAGCACCTTCCCGGAAATACTGGAGACAGCTGCCCCCCCCCGCAAGTCCTGCCACTGAAATGGCTAAATATGGGAATAGTGAAGTCAACCAGCTCCCACCCCAAACACGACCCTAGGCGCTTCGCTGCTGACTGAGGCTACGTCTGCACTAGGGGACTACCGCGACACAGCTCCATCGCCGCAGCAATGCCAACACACCCCCGCAGCAGCAGCGCAGCCTACAGCTGGAAGGGGTTTTCCATCGGCGTAGGAACACCACCTACCCGGGCGATGGTAGCTAGCCTGATGAAAAACAGTTTCCGTCACCCCAGCTGTGTCAACACCGGGGGGGGGTGGTCAGCACAGCCGTGGTGCTCGCGAGCTCCGGAGCCAGGCTGACCTACATTTTCAGCGGAGCCCAGGTCCAAAGCCCAAGTCATTGAGAGTTATGAAGCCCACACAGCTAGTAAACCTGCCCCCAGGCCACACCTGCAAAGCCATCCCCAGCCCATGAAAACCCCAGGGCCACTGCAATCTTGGTGCTTTCCCATTACAACCCACTGAGCTAACCCAGGGCCTCTGCCCCAAAGCGACACGCAGATACAGACCTGCCACTGCAGTGGGGGACAAACAAGCAGAAGTCAAGTGCTGCAACTGGCCTCTGAAACAGCGGCTTCTCAGGACGTGGAGGGTGCCAAGCAACCACCTCTCCGGGACCCCCCACGTCCTTGGCTAAGGTGAACTCAGTGCTTGTCAAAGGGGCTGTGCTGATGACCATGCAGAGCCAAGACCTTTGCTTACCCACTGGATGGGTCCAGCTTGGGCAGCAGCAGTGAAAGTTTCCACGCCCAATGCCACCTGTCTATGGCGCTTCCCCGCAGGCCTCAGGCACAGCTAGATCACCAACTCATCTCACACAGGCCCATTTCACACCCCACCCTGGTGAGAATCCAGGCAAAAGGCCCCATATCCTTCCAACTGCTCCCTCAGCCTGCTGGGCCTTTGGGGGGTCCAACTACCACAGAATCCAACCCTCCCGCCTAGGAAAAGCCTGGGGTTCTGTAAGGGTCTGCATGGGTCAGCGCCAGGGGGCGTCGCAGGGGGAGAGGGCAACGGGAAGCCCAGAGTAACATTAGGAACAATAATTAATCCAGTTTGAAGAGAACCTGGGCCTATTGCGACGCTGCCAGCAGCCAGATGCACCCAGGTGCTCTTCTGCCTCATTTACATCCGGGTCAGGACCAGCAGTGCTAAGGGGCAGGGACTCCAGTGTGAGCCAGGAGCTCAAAACCGAGACCCTGGTCCAAAACCTGAACAAAAATACATGAAGTGTCTATCTTAGCTGTGATCAGAGAGCTCAGGATCTACGCCCACAGGGCAGCTCTGCTAAACACACAAGGGGAAATGCTCGTTAGTACAGACAGCGAAGGAATGTGCCCCCTATGCACATGTACATTGTGGAAAGGTAGAAGGGCAGGTGGGAGCTCAGACCCAGAGAGTATGGGGGGGAGGGAAGAAGAGAGGGGGATGGGCACACCGGAGCTCAGAGGGGTGGTGGGGGAGAAGAGATGGGGATGGGCAGGCTGGAGCTGGGGTGGGGGAGGGAAAAGAGAGGGGGGTGGGCAGGCCGGAGCTCAGACCCGGGATGGGAAGAGGTGCAAGGAGAAGGGGAGGCCGGAGCTCAAACGTGCACCCTTTTCTTCGGTAGCTGAACATCAGCGGTCTGGTTCATGATCACCAGGGCAGGGTAGAAGGGCAATGCCAGGCAGAAATACCAAGCCACCCCTTTGACCTGTGCCTGGAACCAATCAGAGCAAATCCCGAGGACTACAGTGAAGGTGGCCAGCAGACACACAACCAGGCCACATGTGACATGGTACAGCCTTAGCTGTGCCACAGCGGAGATCCTCAGCAGCTGGGGGAAGCGCAGGCTAAGCCCGCACAGAGCCTGCCCACAGGTGGCAGCCAGAGTCAGGACGCCCAGGAGGCTGTGCCAGGAAACCAAGTGCGGGAGCTCGCTCCGATTCTTGCTGGAGACGATGAAGCCCAGGCCCAGTGAGGCAGCCACGACCACCAGCGTCTGCGCGGTCCAGTGCAGCCACACTTTCACCAGACGGGAGCAGAGGCAGAAGGGGGAGTTCTCGGGCGAGAAGAGCAGGATGGCTTCGGGCAGGCAGAGGCAGAACTGGGGACACAGGAGACCATTAGCAACACGATGCCTGGTTGCCCCCCATCCTGCCTGGCGGGAACACTGGCCAAGAACCCTGTGCGGGACAGCACGTTAGCCGAGAGACAGAAGAGTGCAAGGGGCCTTTAGGGGAGGAAGGAAAAGTTCATGCTTCCAAACCTCAGCTACTCCCGTGGGTAGAGCCATGAGATGGCCACCACCAGTGACAAGAGTGTCCTTCCAGCCAAGGGCTCAACGTACATAAGGGGGAACTGGGAAACTCGGCCTTGTCCCTGTGAGTTAGTTCAATCCTAGCAAATCATGCACACTCCTGCTCCCACCATTAGCATCAGGGCTTTGCAGGCCGCAGCATTAGCATGTCACATGCGGATACTGCACCCACCACCAACCTCTTTCCAGGTGTTGTTTTGAACCTAAAAAGCCCCTATTGCATGTTTCTGGGGACTTTCGAGACCCTCCTCTCACTCCAGTGGACCTCAGGTGGGATACGCTCCTGCAGCCCCCATGTTTCTATTCTGCGGGGTGGGGGGAGATAATGGTCAGAAGCAGGGCATTCCGGGCTCGAATACCTGTCCCACTTTTTATTATTATTTTTAAACCTTCAGGGCATGTTGCAGGATCTAGCTACTCCCTAAGGCCTGTCATGGGAAGAGGGTTTTCTGGGGAGGCAGAATTTGCCATTTTGTTGTTTTCATTGAGCTATGCTTTTAAACTAGTGTCAATGTGTTTGGAAAATGGTAACTGGCAGCCAGTTTATCACTCAAAATAAATAATTCTCATCTATTTCATATGTAGTGGAAACCACCTTTGACTCCTGGCAGCGTAAGAGGGTCTGCCTCCCACTGTATATTCAGAATTCCCAGATACACATACTTCTCTTACTGATGTTACAGAGTCCCACTCTGATCCGGAAAAAGGATCACCCCGAACCCTCGCTCTCAGCCACTGTCACAGCAGCTTTCACTCCAAACTGACACTGAACCACTTCTGGAATCAGCCATCTGCTCAGGGCTAAGAACTACCATTTGGGGGCATCTTGCCAATCAGGAGAGCACCTACTTTAAAGATGTGGGTAATAAATTCATTGTTGACACCAGATCAGATGCTGTCGTCTGCGCTTCCCTCCAACCACCATATCCACCCACTGAAACACTGGAAACCAGAGCTCAGGAGTGAACGGAAGCCAGCTAGGACCTCAGGAAGATAGCACTTGCTGCAATGAATCATGGACAAATGAGTGCATGCTGCTAAGGGTGGCTCCATCTGCACCAGTGGGGCCCCGGGGGAGGGAAGCCAGAGCTACATGCTAACATCTCCAAAAGCAAACCAAAGTGGCTATAAACCTGGGGACATTTCTAGTAGATAAACAGAAAAAAAAGAAACTTACCGCTATAGACATGAAGACAGGGTGCCAAGAAAACAGACCTGGGAAGGAAAGAGTTAACACTTCGGGTTGGGGCAACACTAAACAGAAAATGATGCTTCATTTACCCATTCTGTACCTTAGCACTTCTTATCGCCATTACAGTTCCTCTCCCCTGGCTGTGGAGCCCGATGGGGACAATCAAGTATGGAGGGTGCACTGAACTGTCTGGTGCTCTGGTCTGAATCCTGTTTCCCTGATGGATTTGGGAAGGCGCGTGGAATACAGGGTTTCAGTCCCTTTCTCCCCCGCCTCGGCAATGTTTATTTCTATCCTTTGGAGATAATATCCCTTCTCAGAGTTAATCAGTGGTTCTTAAAAACTACTGTGTGTTCAAACTGAGCAGAAGCCAAGATGAGCGCAGTCTTTTAAACAATGTTACATTGGCCTGAGTCTTTCCACTGCAACTCTTCCCAGATGCATCCAATTTCACACCCAACTTCTGCCCTCCCCCACCCCACACATGGACCTTCTCTAAGGCAATAAGCTGACCCAAACACAGGCAATGCTGAAACTGACGTGCTGGGAAACTTCATAGATGCTGAAAAACTAAGTGGTCCATAATTTCACACTCCCTCCCTCTCCTCCTGTGGAAGAGAAGAGTGAGGGGGGATTTGATAGCTGCTTTCAACTACCTGAAAGGGGGTTCCAAAGAGGGTGGATCTAGACTGTTCTCAGTGGTAGCAGATGACAGAACGAGGAGTAATGGTCTCAAGTTGCAGTGGGGGAGGCCTAAGTTGGATATTAGGAAAAACTTTTTCACCAGGAGGGTGGTGAAGCACTGGAATGCGTTACCTAGGGAGGTGGTGGAATCTCCTTCCTTAGAGGTTTTTAAGGCCCGGCTTGACAAAGCCCTGGCTGGGATGATTTAGTTGGGGATTAGTCCAACCCCCTGCTCAAAGCAGGACCAGATGACCTCCTGAGGTCCCTTTCAACCCTGATATTCTATGATTCCTCCCATTCTCTGCTAGGTCCCTCCACACTTTAAAAGCCAGCCTCACCCATCTTAGTGAGGAGGAGCGACTGACAAGACAGTGGAGAGCAAGGAATAAAACTGCTGGCTCCTGCTCTCCAGTCCCTGGTTCCCTCTCCCAGAGGCAAGAGGAGATATGCACATGAGTAAGGCTGGGACAGACAGGCTCTGGTCAGCCCCGGGGCGAAGACACCCCATTTCAGAGATCCTGGACAGGGAGGATGTGGAATAGGGGTCCGGAAGCGGGTTGGGAACTGACTCAGTGCAGACCCCAATGCCCCAACACGGGGGTACTGTACTATAGGGAGCAGGGTGGAGGCTTAGGAGGGGGAGCTCAGGGGCTCTGCAGTCCACTTACCAGTAATTACTAAGAGGGGACCCCTGACTCTGGCCCTGCGTTCCCCGCCCTCAGCCTGCTGCATCCCTACAGCCCCATCACTTCCTCTCCCACCACTCCGCCTCTGGGCTCCTGCACCCTCCATCGCCCCCCAGGGGCCAGGCCCCTCATCCAGCTTCACCCCAACTCTCACCTGGGCCCACCCAGCCCTTGGCCCAGTCCATGCCTCCCCACAAACCCCCCTCAGCCCCCTCCCCAGTCCATGCCTCCCCTACCCTGCCCCCCCACAAACCCCCCTCAGCCCCCTCCCCAGACCATGCCTCCCCTACCCCAGCCCTCCGCACTGACCACTCTCCGCCCCCTGCCCAGTCCATGCCTCCTCTCACCCGGCCCCCCCAGTCTCCACCCCCCTTAACCCTTTCCCCACCCAGCCCCTCCCCAGATCCTTTCCCACCCACTGACCCCCCAGCCCCTGCCCCCTTAACCCTTCCCTCCCCCCCGCCCCCACTGACCCCTCGGCCCCTCCCCAGACCATGCCTCCCCTACCCCAGCCCCCTTAACCCTTTCCCGCCCACTGACCCCCCCAGCCCCCACCCCCCAACCCACTGACCCCCCGGCCCGTCCTGTGCCCTGCCCACTCACTGGTGCCGGGCCGGGAGAGCAGCAGCAGGAAGAGGGTGAGGCCCAGCGCCACCAGGTGCGCCAGGAGGCCGGTGCCCCGCCGCAGCCAGCGGGAGGCGCGGGACCCCGGGGGCCCGACCTGCATGGCGGGCCTGGGGCGCCCCCGCCCCCAACACCGGCCTGCGGGGTCCGAGCGCGTGAGACGGGGCCGGGGGGAGGGGCCAGGTCGGGGAGGGGCCGGGGCGGGGTGGAGCTAGAGGGATCCGGGGGGCGGGGCCAGAGGGAAGGGGAGGGGTGAAAGGGGCCAGAGAGGAGGAGGGGGCGTGGCCACAGGGGAGAGGAAGGGGTGGAGCTAGAGGGATCCAGGGGGAGGGGCCAGAGGAAAGGGGAGGGGTGGAAGGGGCCAGAGAGGAGGGGGCGGGGTCAAAGGGGGGAGGGGGGGTGAAAGGGGCCACAGGGGAGAGGAAGGGGTGGAGCTAGAGGGATCCAGGGGGAGGGGCCAGAGGAAAGGGGAGGGGTGGAAGGGGCCAGAGAGGAGGGGGCGGGGTCAAAGGGGGGAGGGGGGGTGAAAGGGGCCACAGGGGAGAGGAAGGGGTGGAGCTAGAGGGATCCAGGGGGGCTGGAGGGAGGATCTGGAGGACTGAAGTCCTAGTGGTGGAGCAGGGGTCGTGGCACCTTCCTCTCCCCCCACCCACAGGCCACTCTACTTTCTCCCAGGAGCCTTGACCTCCCCCCTTTGGGTTCACGGGGCACAGCCCCTGTGCAGCGTGTCTTCTAGGAAGGCAGTCAGCCTGGGGGGCCAAAGCCCCATCGCCCCTTTCGTCTGGCGTCTCTCTGGGGCCGGTTCCCTCCTGTGCCGGCTGGCAGCCAACATAGGCCGGGACACCAAAGGGGGCAGCTCCACGGGTGTTTGAGACCCAGCCCACACCCCGGCAGCACGAATTCAGCCTTCTCACGCAGGGACGTCGCCCAGGGCTCCTGGGCCTGCCCCGTCTACACTGGGCGCGCTCTGCTGCCCCATGGCTAGCAGAATGAGGCGGGGGAAACTCCACGAAGAGGGCTCTGGTGACAGACACCCCCCCACCTGGAGGAATGGATGTTGAGGGCTTTTTCTAAAACACTGCCCTGCCTGCCCGGTCCTGGGCCAGGATCAGCTGACGGCTCCTAGGGCTCCCTCCAGGCCTGCTCCAGAAGAGCTGCCTTCTCATGTGCAGGGCTGGCGCCGCCTACCCGTCGGGTTCTCGGACGTTTCCCATATTAAAAGCCTATTTTCAGTTGCTTATAACTTTGCCAAACTTTAACCAACTGGGCTGAAATTTTCCATGCTGGGTGTCTGCTCCGAGCTGATTTTTGTGGGGGATGAGGTGGGATTTCACACAAAACAGTTCAGCTGCTTCTGAGAAGGCTAGTGAAAAATACCTTGTTTTTCCCATGTTAAAAAATTCTGGTCCCCTTCTCTTTGGAAAGCTCTACCGCCGCCCTGCTTTGGGACAGGGACCTGAAGTTTGAGAGGGTGTTAGAGATGCGCCTTTTGCCATCCCTGGAGAAATCTGCCCATATTTGGCCAAGTTATGAGCATCTGAAAAATGGTGGTTTGCACATGCTCAGCTGAGACTTTGATTTTTGCAGCTCAGTTCTCCAAAGATTCTGTCTGCGCTGGGTCCATTCCAGGCTGGGCCTCACAAGCAGTTTCCCTGCAAGTGCAGTTCTGGGCTGCTGTGGGTCATGCCGAGGCCCAGCCAGGGTGCCCGAACTGAGAGCAAGGAGCCTGTCTCTCCTGTGCTGTCAGTGACCCCTCCCCTGGCTGGGGCCAGGCAGCTTGGAGGAGGAAGCTGCCTGATGTGAATGCAGAAGGAACGAGAGCTAGAACTGTGAACTGGGGCTGGGGAGAGCAGATTGAGGCTATGTCTACCCTGCACACCAGTGTCGGCAGCGTGTAGGGGACGTGTAGCGACACTGCAGTGAAAAGCAGGCTGTGTAGCTAAACATGTCAGTGAAAGGCTGGTGGGGCAGGCAGTGCAGGAAGGCTCCAGTAGCTGGGAGACAGTAGGACATGACATGGCTAAAAACGGCAGTACAGACTGGGAGGCACGGCTTGGGCCAAATAGAGAGACATGTATTACCATAGTGCCCAGCAGCCCTTGTTATGGACCATTGTGCTAGGCACTGTACATACATTAGCCTGAGGTACCTAAGTCACCACTCCCAGGTACCCAGTTGCAGCCTGTTAAAAGAACAGCCATAAGCCGAAAAGGGTCTCTATCCAAACCGCCTGTCTGGGCTCTCCACGGAATGCCAGCCGAAAGGAGCCAGCCCTGCAGCCTTTCCCCAGGATCTCACCATCCAGTTACAGACCCGACACTAACAAGCTTTCTTGGAAGAGGGGAAAAAAAGGCAGCTGGACTAGGGACCTGGACTGTGGGTCAGGAGCCTTGGGCGTATTCCCAGCTTTGCCACTTGGCTGCTGGATGACCTTGGGCAAGTCACTTTTACCTTCTCTGCACCTGTTTTCCTTCCCACCCTTTGTCTAGTTGAAATTGGGGCAGGGACTATCTCCAGCGATGGATTTGTACAATGCCCAGCCCATCGGGGCCTCGAGCCGTTAGCCCAATACAACAAATAATTCATCATAATACACTGGGGGGAGTTGGACCAGCACAGCATCGGCCAAGCAGCAGCTACAATTCTCAGCCACACCATGACTGGCTCAAGCCACCCTTCTGGTCCTAAGGACAGTGCAAAGTACTAATCTTCTCAAATGAAGACATGGGCTGGAGGAGAGTTACACAAGAACATGGGTGCCGGTTCAGAGCTGTCCCGTCGGGGTGGGGTACTCCTGTCTGTCACACAACCACTCCACTGGGTGCCAGTCGCTGCCCAGGGTTAGAACAGGAAGGGGGCACTGAGGCAGAGATTGGGCCAGGCACAATGAGCAGCAGAGGGAATCAGAAAAAACGGAGGCCTCATGAAGTAGCCAAGACGTTGCACTAAGGGATTGGTGTGGACATGGCACGATCCTGACATAAGCTCCATTCCGGAGGAAAACGCCTGCGCCACCAAACACAGCTTTGGGAGAAGAGAAGTGCCTACAGGCCAGGGGACTGCCAGCAGGGGGAGCCACCCATGGGCCAGGCATCGGCCAAGCACTAGCAGCAATGGGCGATGACATGCAATGGAAACGCACGTCAGGGCACAGCCTGCAGAGGGATCCACCCCAACTGTGGCTGGCTGGAACATCCGCTTCCCAGCCCTGCCAGGAGGGGGCGCTTGCCCCTCCCCCTCCCCCAGGCTGAAAGCCACAGGCCGCACCACCCTTTCAATACTGATTTTTCTTTTTTAAAAAAAGAAACAAAAGCAGCAATAAGAATTCTTATAAATATCCCAGCCCGGCTGTGTGGCTGCCTCCAGTCCAGTCCATCCGCTTCCAACCTCCTCCCAGTGTGGATCGGGTTTGCGTCTGGATTTTTTTCCCCCTTGGGATTTTGTTCGTTCGGGTTTTTTAGCAGCAACAGAACAGGAAAAGAGTCTTGAGGTATTTTTATAGAGTTTTTTTTCTTTTAAAAAAAATAATATAAAGTTATAAAAAGCAGTGGCCTCTGAATCCGACCCAGGGCCGCCCAGTCCTCAGGACCAATGGCTCCGTCTGCACTGCACAGGCACTTGCTTGTTAATGCGCTTTCGACTGCAAGGAGACAAGAGGACAAGGGTCAGCACAGAGGAACAAAGGAGCAGAACACACGAGCGCAGAGGGCCAGTGTTTCTCTGCCGCAGGGGCTCAGGGACGAGGGCGACTTGTCAGAAGCCCAAGGGCTGTGTCTAATTGGCGTCTACTTATAATAAAAGCACACCCTTGTGTTTGCATCTGAATAGCTGAATAAGAGCTCTCAGTGCCAGAGCCCTTCTGAGAAGTGCAGCATGCCCTGTGCTGCTGGAAATGGCATCGCGTGGCCCTTGTTAAGATCTGCGACTTCCCAGCGAATGTGCCCCCTCCCGCAAAAAGGTGATTCCCTCCCCCACAAACTTCCCCGGGAGACCTGAGAATCCAGCTGGGCTCTGTCTTTGTTGCACATCATCAGTAATAAAGGTTCGACAGGCCAAGTTAACCCCAGTGGGTTTCCACAGAGGTCACTGGCTGATTCTATTGATGCACAAAAAGGAATAGACTCTTTCCGGTGGCCAGGCCGGCCCCACAGGGCTAACAGGAATAGACTCTGCCCTGCAGGGCTAATGGGAGTCACAAGCAGTAGAAACGTAATAACACCAAGAAGCCAGCAGCTGTGACGGACACAGCCAGAAAGCAGGTCGGCTGAGTACAGAGGGGATGTTTTTCACCTTTCAGAGCAGAACAGCACATCATAGCTCACAGCCCCTGAGAAGCAGGTTTAAGATCATTCTCCCCATTTTACAGATGGGGAAACTGAGGCCCAGAGAGGGGAAGCAATTCATGCAGCGAGTCTGGGGCAGAGGTGGGAACAGGAACTGTTTCTTGGCAGAGTTCAGCAGCTGATCAGCCCTGTTCTCACCCCACAGTCCCACAGACCTGGGGGTACCGATCGTGTACCCAACGCATACCAGCCGTGACCTGCATGCCTCCTGTTAGGAGAGGCCACAGTCCTTCCCAACAGCCAGCCCCAGCCCAGGACCATTCCCTGCAGTGCTGTGAGCTCCCACAAGGCAAGGCCCCTGCCTCAGTCCCACAGCACCTCCTACTGGGAAAAGCATGTCCTCCTGGCTGTCCTTAGCCTAAGCCCCTGCTGGGAGGGAGCACTGTGGGCACCCCCAGCCAACTCCCAACAGTGCCACCCGCTGGGGATGTGACATCTCCGAAGAGTGCTTGGAATACAGACCACTTTGCACATAACCACAGTCCTATTAACCCGTCTCATGCTGGGGATCTGCACTGTCTAGTGGCCAAGGGATGAGTTGCCAGCCAGCTGGGCTTCAAGGAGTCTGCTTGCCAGGCACTGCCCCAGAGCAGAGGCTCCCATCCTGTGGCAGCCACTCCCTGGGGCTGCTCTGCTCAGACCCCTGCAGCCTGGTCCAGTCCCCCAGAGCTCAGAGGGGCCCCATGAACCATGAGGTCCATCTGGGAAGGCTCCGCGGGTCCCAGGACGCAGCCAAAGAGGACGGGGAGGGGGACTGTGGGAAAAGAAGTGCTGTGGGGTGGACGACAGAGCAGCAGGGGGAGACCCAGGTGGACAGGGCAGGAGGATCAGCCTGCAGTGGGGGTGCACAGCGG